AGGAGAAAACAATAGGACCGACAGTTCCGGGGGGACATGGGAGAGGGGGAGGTGGGGAGAAAGGAAGTGGTGTTAACAAACCATTATTTTTTAACAGCCCCAAAATAGAAACCACCCAAATGTTCACCACCTGATGAATGGATAAGCCAAATAAGGCATATGCACATGATGGAATGTTATTCAACCATTAAAAAAGAATGAAGTACTGATGCATGCTATGACACAGAGGAACTCTGAAAACATCGTACCAAGTAAACGCAGCCAGTCACGAGGAGCTACACACCTCATCACTTCAGTCACATGAAATGTCCTGTCTAGAACAAAGGAAAATCCATAAAAATGAAACGTAGATTAGTGGTTTCAGACTGTGTGGGGCAAGAAGTGACTGCTAAAGGCTACCAGCTTTCCTTTCAGGATGATGAGGACGTCCTACAATTAGGTGAACAGTGATGCTGCATAACTCTGAATATCCTCAAAATCCAGAGTTATACATTTTTAAAGGATAAGGCTTATTGTATGTGAATTACATCTCAACCAAGCCCTTACTTTAAGAAAATAGTAACAATCAAAGGATTGAGTGCCTATTACTCTACTGGCCACTGTAGAGTAGTCCCAAGACTGAGAAATGCTATCTGTGGCTAAGTCACCATGTTGAGGGCCACAATAGAGGTCAGTGCAGACAGCCCTAAGGACAGAGAAATGGGGCACTTTTCACATCCACAGTCAATCAATATACATCCTCGGGAATCAGCTAAGGTTATAATCTTATGGTCAGTTGTTTTAAAAAGCCTCTCATAACTGACGAACACAAAGGCCTTCATGGATTCGAAATAGAAACTAATGACGGCGTCAGGACTGACCCAGCAATACCAAGGAACCATGTTTCACAAGAGCTGGAGACAAGGAAAGCGCAGACTTTTGTTTTCCCCCTTGAAACAGTCTGGATGAGCTATCCCTCAAGCTTTCAAATGCCCTTTGCCGACTGCATGCTCCCCAGGCAGCTCGCTGATTAGCAACCCAATTTCCTCAATAGTGTGGATACCTAGAGAGTTTTTATAACTTGACAGACCAAAAATTGCCAGCATATGTGAATTATTGTCTGTCTCAACTGTCTTTATCATAACCAATTTCTGAGCTTGATGTATATATATAGACAGATATATAGATATAGATATATCCCTGTACCCAGAACTGAACCAACAAAGCCAATGCCCAGGTTCTCACCGATGTATCCATCAAGGTCTCACCCACTGCCACCTAGTCGATTCAGAGTCACCGTGCCTACAGGGCAGCGTAGAGCTGCCCCTTAGGGTTCCTGAAGCTGTAAATCTTTACAGGAGCAGACAACCTCCTCATTCTCCCACAGCAGCTCATAGGTTGGAGCTGAAGTCCCTGCAATTAGCAGCTCAACTTGTAACCCCCCAGCCACCAGGACACCTTCTTAATCATCTCTCTGAGCACCTTCCAGCCATTGCTCCTTTTTAAATGAGATGAGAAAACACAAATACAGCTCCGAGGCAGTTCTGCTGCTTCCACGTCTCCAGAACTAGTATCTTAGCAATAAAATCACCTGTATTTACCCACACAAAACATACCTCTAAAAGTCATAAATGGAACACTCTTTTTTGGCTCCTGAAAAGACACTATACTATATGTCTATCTATTTATCAATCTACATATATAGACATTACCCTTCATCCAATTAGCAATTATGACTTGGAATACAACTATTTCTGAAATGATCAAGAAATGAACAGGTGAGAGATACTTTAACTAAAGGACTTTTGGACTGTCTACATCAGTCCAAAAGTCATCATCACCAAAGATTTAACGTGTAACCTATTCGAAACCAAAGCAATTTCACAATATGGACTGTTCGTGAATTTCTGGTAAAATAAACCCAAAAGCACTGCGGAAGACTGGAAGAACCAAGACAACTGTCCAACACCCACACCACCACCCATTTCCAACCCAATAGCTCCAGCCCACCATGCTTTCAAACAAAAGGAGGTCCCCACCTCAAGCAGCTTTGAAACAGATAGAACTCTGACTGCTTTCTACCTGTTCCTACAGCTGTGACATCTTTTATGAGCACGAAAGTCACTTAACACAATATTGACATTCTTTACCAATGTTTCATTTCTAGCTCAAACACACCTAAAGTATTTTGTGCTTTTCAAACTTTCATTTCAGTTCTCGTCCTTGAATTTACCAATGCTCCTTTTCAACTTATTTCAATTCAACGATATCAAGTTTAAAATCTAATTAGTGTACATAATTAATTAATATACATAAAAGCATACTAGATACCACAAATAGTCAAGGGAGAGAGAATGATTCTGAGGGAAAGGTCCTTGGATTGTTAGCAGATGCGGCCAGTAATATTTTGAGAAACGTGTAATGAGTGAGCTATCATTTATGTCTTAAACCAGGAGCAACCCATTACATGACAAATAGATAGAAACCTAAAGAAAATATTTCCTTTTTACTGAGTGCAGCTTCAGTTTAATAAACTGTGCCCAGAGTTTCAGTTGTACAGATTAGTTTATAAAGCTACACATTCACATTTGTGTGCAAGGACACACTATAGCTAGTAATACTGTGATCATATAAGTACTTACAAAGACTATTTAATCTCAGTCATATTCTGAAACCCAAATTTCAGACTATCATACTATCAGAGGAAGACTAAAGTATAACTAGTCTTTCTATACTTTCACAGAGAGACCAATTTCTACTTTTGACCCAAGATATTTTATCTTTTCCAAATAAAATACTACCATGTGATAAACTAATCTGAGACTACTGATACCTTTGAAAGTTTCACAAATGAAGTTTTTCACCTTTGTCAAATATCAAGATTAGAGAAAATTTCAGATGGTTTGGGGTTTAAATGGCTGAGAAGAGGGGAAATTATAGAAGGGAAATTATTGTGGCACTCAGGTGCAATTAATATTATGAAATAAAGTGATCTATAGATCATTGGAATTACTCGTATGTACAAAATTGGTGTTTTGTCTCCTCTCTACAAATGAATGAAAATTTCTGAATTAAAACTCCTTAATCATTACACTTTAAATTAATATTGTAGCATATCTTTTGCTAAAGTAAATTCTTCAATCGCTAATCTGATATCATTTTCTAAAAAGAGAAGATAAATTCCTGGGCTTGGAACACAGAGCTACTTTCTAATGACAGCTTCAAAGCTACTAAGAAATTTAAGTTGGCATTTTTACTTTGGGTCCTCAATAACCTAGTTCCTGGGGGAAAAGGGGTTGGGAGTACAGATTTACTGAATACATGTGTTAAAGAGTTTTCATACTTGTTACATACGTTTTCCTTCTCCAACGTTTTCCTTCTCCAAATATCTAGGCTTGTACTAGCCAAGTACGCTATATTATAATCACAGTCCTGGAAATTGGCAATATATAAAAAATGAAATGGTTTCTCATTTTTATATGATGCTCCATGTAAATGAAAGTATTTGGCTATAATTATTACTGGCGCCACAAAAGCAAGCAAGGCCACTCCATGAATCCAGAAAAACCTTTTGGTGGTATTTCATAGCATCAAAGTATAGAGGTAATCATTCGATGCTTTATAAACAGTTATTTACAATTTTGCCATTTGTCTACCTAATCATATCTCTAAACTTTTCTAAAAGGTCTAAAAAAATAATTTATACTATACACACATCTAGTAAGATCCAACTTTTAACTTAGCTCTAAAGATATTCGGTCAGGAAATAATTCTGAAAAACCAGCGAATTTTGCAAAGGCGAAACGGCTGTTAAGCGAGTATAAGCCAGGGTGCTAGGTCCCAGAGGATGCCAGAGAGGGGTTAGGAGGAGGGGCAAGAGCATTATTTGCAAACACTCCATCATCAGCATCAGCCCACACACCAACCCGTCTCAAGAGCCCATGAGCACCCAACTCATCTGGGTAAAAGTGTTTAGATTTTCAAGGGCCAAGTTGAATCATCACCCATTCAGAAGCATACTTTTTAAAGAATCGGGGATGAAAATTAAAGCGAGCTTGGAAACTTTACGAAGCACGTGTTAATGTGAGGGTCAGCCCAGGGCTTCCCTTTGTACTTGTAAATAAAAATATTTGAGGAGCCTCACGAAGAGCACACAATACAAAACCGATGAATCTTGAAAACATGCAAATAGATCTAACAGCCACCGAGCCCAGGATGATGTCTTTCTAAAGCGGCCTTAATTTCCTTAAGGGAAGACAGATTGGACATTTCTGGTTGGTCGTGGGGGGGAAAAGCCACAAGAAGCCACACTTTATCATTAGAAACGGTAAACATTATGAAAGAAAGGGGAGGAGGGCTTCGGTGGGGTGGGTGGGTGGAGAATCCAGTTTCGAACGAGGCCAGCGTGGGCTGCAGAGATGAAACCCACATAAGACCGGATTCGGCTCCAAACTGTGACAATCGCCGGGCATCACAAAAGACCAATACAGCACACACCCCACACCAAGGCAGACACATACATACACACCCACAAGGTTTTCTCTGGGCAGGCGGGGGAGGGGGCGGGGGCGGCGGGCAGCAGACCCAACTCTGGCCAACAGAGAGACACCATGTGCGGCAATTATGCAATTAAGGAAAATAGCAAAAGATCGAGCCGGGCACTTTCCACCGTGGCATTTATCCTGTACTTTTGCAAAGACTTAGTTCCAGGATGCGGCTGCGGGAGGGAAGAGACCTGGAGAGCGGCGGAGGATGGGGAACTGGAAGTGAAGGTGGTGGAAGAAGGGCAGGGAGGGAAGGGGCAGAAAATAGCGGGGGGGCGGGGGAGAGGGAGGGCTGGAAAGGGCGAGAAACAAGGCAGGACGCTAGCGGGAGGGGCACAGGGGGCTGGGCACGCCAGGGGGCGGAAAGGGGAGAACTGGGGCGCAGAGGTGTAAGCAGAGACCTGCGGCGTGGAGGGGTGGCCCGCGGGGGGAGGG